TAGTTGTCTTTTAGGCCGTTCTTGAAAGATACGACCGCCACCTCTTGATTATACTCTAGTATTCGGTTGAACACCTCATAGTACCTTTTTGCATAGGCCCTAAGGTCTTCTTCCTTATTGATCTTCAGAGCCATTAATGCGTCCACCCTTAATGGCTGCAGCTTGTTTGTCACGAACTTGGCTACAAACATCTCAGTCAGGCCATAGTCTTCACGCTTCCCTTCGGTAATTTATGGAACCAATCTGACGCAATCTCCCCAAAAGATGAGGGGAACACTTTGCAGAGCAACGGCTCATTCCCACTATATAATGCCATCGAGTTCAAGTATAATCTAACGTGGAAGTTGGGGTCCAACTTACCATCGTAAATTTGGAACCTCGGCATACTGAATCTCTTTGGTGCCTTAAATTTGTCTAGCTCTACCGAGAATGGTGTTTTCGGCTTTTTAGGGAAAGTTACCTTGGCGTCGGCATTCTGCTGTTTCCTCTTGAGGTAATCTCTCAAGTCTTCTTTGCTCCGTTCAGGAGCTCGGCTGTCTCCTGACTTCAGTCTTTTCGGCATACTACTCTCAGCTTCATGGTGGTTTCTTTTCGATCTTTCTCCGTGAGTTGTGTCGAAGCAGAGTGCCTGTCTCTGAACATGCCGATGTTCTTTGGGGTCTGCCTCCTTAGTGTGGTGCGCCCTCCGCGACTCTTCTCTCCTCGACTCTCCTCGCCCGACCTCCCTAGAAGGCCGATGAGAGTGTTTTTCGCTTCTGGCGTGCTGAGGAGCTATTGGGATTGTCTTCTGCCCTCCCTTCTGGGTATTGGCCACTGGAATCGGCGTGTCCTGCAACGGGTATGATGGCTGCATGACATTGTTTTGCATCATAAAATTGACGACCGATTGCAGGTCTGCCAATTTGTTTGCCATCTCTTTTACCTCTTCGTCCCCCGCAGTCATCTGTCCTTCCATACCTGGAGGTCATCCTCATGGTAGTACCTACTTCGATCTGGCTGCTTTGGTATGTCGCCATCCTAGCCGACGTCTTTCTTGCTGTGATTCTGGTCACGAGTTTCTACGTTGCATTCGTCTCCTTCGATATCAAGGTCAATAGGTCTCCCACTCTCAGCAAGAGTGTCGTTCCCAATCTTTTCCTTCTGTCCGTTACTGGCCATCTATTTTTCTTTCTTTCCCACAGACGGCGCCAAATTGTGTGAGTGATTTTCCGATCACACTGCCCAACTCAGTATTCAACTGGAGAGAACTGGCAGAACAGATGACACCTGGCTGACCTGCAACAGAAAGAGAAGATTCTGGCGGTGGTTCGTCCACCCGGCGGCATTCCGATGATCAAGTCAGTATATCTCTCAAAGATAATCGATAGTGCAAGACTCACTGTACTTAATATAAATTACGTACCTTAGACCCATCGGGGGTGCCTCTCTTTTATAGTTAACTCAATCCTTGTCCCACTAGAAACCTAGCTTCAATGGACTCTTGCTCAGTGTTTATCCTGGACTCTCTAATAGATAAAGATAAACTCCCTAAGAGTGTTGTCCTTATCCATGCTAAAGTCTTTCATCATTCTAAGACTCTTATCCCTTATTCACTTATTTCGGATTCCGATATTTTCGGAGATAACCTCAGCCTTGCCAAGATCATTTCGGCGTTATGTTCTGGACACGTGACACCTCGACTGACACGTCGGCGTCACCTTGGCCACGTGTTGGGACCCAAAAAATATATCTCCACAGATGGATTTAAAGAGAGAGTAAGAGGTGGTGATTGTTCCTTTTATGATTTTAAAATTTTCATTTATTATAATACTATTAATTATAATTATCTACTAATTATAAAAGTTCGTAAAATAATAACACTATTACAGACTATATCTCTTCATATTCTAGTACCCGAAGTCCTACATTCCATACCTACCTTGCCAACTTTATGTTTATGTTTATTTTTTATTAAAAATGTATCATAAAATTTTATCCCTTTTTTAACCCAAAATAATATACAAGCCATAGAATGATTGTGATATGAATAATTTTTTTTCAGGATAGTTTTAACAATTATTATTTTACTATTATTGTTGTTATTTTCATACGGAATGAGGACACTACTCTTTAGACCGTGGACCAATCTATAAAAATGAGACATGCGGAGTAAATAGCCGAGGCTGACATGTATGGTTCAAAAGCCCACACACTATCATTTGTCATTGGACTATTTTATTAGTAATTATTTAATAATTTTAAAATATTATCTTACATTATTTATATGATAATTTAAATCAATTATGCTGTAAATTTTTTTTTTACCAGCGAAGTATATTGACTCATTTTTATTAGGTAGTTAAAAAATAAAAAATAATTTATTTAGTGTGTATTATAATTTTTCATTAATAAGAAATATTTCGTAAATAATATTATATAATGTTTTGAAATTATTTAATAATTTTTGGTAGTCTATTGATACGTCGGTTGAGTGATTTGGTTTGAGAAGCATTACTCATATTCGATTTATGAGAAATGATATATAAATAAAAAAAATTAAATAAAATTTTTATAATAGTGTGGCTTTGATATAAACTTTTGAGAGTTAAGATTTGAAATGTCAAAGGATGTAAAGAGAGGATAGTCACTTAGGGACGGTGATGTGTTTGGAGTTATAGAAGGTGTTAAGAGAGAAGATGTGATTTTCAAATTTTTCAACGAGTGTAATTAGAAAAGGAGATGGTTTTTCCTCAGTTCATATTGCACTAGAGGATGTTGTTAGGTTTTTGTAGGCTCACCACGGAGACTGCATCAATGATACAAACAACTCAAATGTGTAAGATTCGTCAAATATTTTTATTTCTGTAAAAAATGATGTTAATTGGATATCGATAGTCATTTGATTAAATCACATTTGTGTTAACGATAAATATAATTTTAAAAATAAATTGTTGACACAAACACAATGTGATCAAATGACTTGATATCCGATTAATATAATTTTTTACAAAAGTAACTTACTCGATGAGTCGTAAACATTGAACGATTTGAATCATTAATACAGGCTTCATGATGGCCCCATAAAGGGCCAACAACACATTTCAATTGGTTTTCCTAACTGGAGAGAAGCTTTTCACATTATAAAATGGATGTAATGGCCCATGACCTTGTGGCCTAGTGACATGGAAGTAGCACCAAATAGTTGTTTGCAAAAGGTTGAGAGTTCATCTAATTATTAACAATTGATTTTTGTTGATAAAAAAAGAAAAAGAAAATTGATGTAATGAATTCGGTTTGCTGTGTAAATGGAAGCTCTCTGAACTAAGAGGTAAACAGTTCGGTTTAGTCGAAGCTATTAGTATCAAATTGAACCCTTCAGTTTTGTTGATTTTATTAATTTTTGGATTTAGTGTAAACTACAAATTCATGGGAAGCTTTAAGGGTTTTTATAAAAATCAATAAATTTCGTATCGAGAATAAATGAAGAGAAATTGTGGAGACTGCTCTATAAATGTTTCTCTTCTTAATATAAAAATATAGAAATATTTAAATAAATATTTTAGTGAGTTCAATGTACGTTATGAGGAATCAATTTAAAGTTGAAATTTTGGTCGGTCTTAAAGAGATCAATTTTTTTTGACCATTTTCTCTAATCTTTCTACTTCAAGACAAAATACCCATAAAAATAACTTCTATTTACAAAAACGACAATATCACATTATTCTTATATGGGTGTGTTTATTTGGACGGACTGGATAAGGAGAGATTGTAATTCATCGGAGTGTTAGTCTCGGGATAAATTGTCCCGGGACTATTTGTCTCGGGACTATTATATTGGATTGAATTTGTATCCTATGTTTGTTTAGTCATGGGATTAGATGTGGAGACTGCTCTATAAATGTTTCTCTTCTTAATATAAAAATATAGAAATATTTAAATAAATATTTTAGTGAGTTCAATGTACGTTATGAGGAATCAATTTAAAGTTGAAATTTTGGTCGGTCTTAAAGAGATCAATTTTTTTGACCATTTTCTCTAATCTTTCTACTTCAAGACAAAATACCCATAAAAATAACTTCTATTTACAAAAACGACAATATCATATTATTCTTATATGGGTGTGTTTGTTTAGACGGACTGGATAAGGAGAGATTGTAATTCATCGGAGTGTTAGTCTCGGGATAAATTGTCCCGGGACTATTTGATTGGATTGAATTTGTATCCTATGTTTGTTTAGTCATGGGATTAGATATCTGGATTGGACTATTTTTAGTAAATTCAATGTTTGGTTAGACGGACTGGATAAAGATAAATGTTTAAAAGACTATTTTACCTTTATAATCTATAATTTATAATTTAACAACACTAAAAAAATTTAATTTATAAGGCCACAATTTTTAATTTATTATCTTCAATTAAATTAAATTTATATTTTATATTTTATATTTTTATTTAATATATAATTTTAAATAACGACAATAAAAAATAAATTATTTAATATATAAATTAAATTTTCAACAACACTAAAAAAATTTAATTTATAAGGCCATAATTTATAATTTATTATTTTTAATTAAATTAAATTTATAATTTATAATTTAAATTTTTTATTTAATATATAATTTTAAATTAACAACACTAAAAAAATAATTTATAAATGTTCAAAAGACTATTTTACTCTTTTCTAATTGTTCACTAAGTAATAGCATGGGGTAAAATGGACATTTCACAAAATAATCCCATGGGATACCAATACCATGGTTTCTATCCCACACCTCCTATGGGATAGGATAGTCCCATGTTTGTGGGACTAACTATTAGTTCGGAGCAAAATTTTTCAAACAAACAATGGACTATTAGTCCGGTGGGACTAATCGTTCAATCTCACCCTCTTATCCCTCAAAACAAACATGCCCATACTGTTTTCTTTACAAAAATTTTGTAAAAATAGAGTTATCCTATATAAAAACCAATCCAACATAATGAAATTGTTCTTAATTCAATATGCAAATTCAATGCAGGGGAGATCCAACAATGTATGAGAGGTATTGGAAGGAGATGGGTGAGAAAACCACACTGGTGATTTCAGGGTGGCAATCCATAAGCTATTTTTCTGATCTCACAAACCTCTGCTGGTTTTTGGAGCCATCATTTGCAGACTCAGTTCTTAGATTGCACAAACTGGTGGGAAATGCGGTCACCCAAGACCGACACATCGTGGTTGGAACTGGTTCAACCCAACTCTTTCAGGCTGCATTGTATGCACTCTGCCCACCCAATGGCTCCGAGCCCATGAGCGTTGTGTCAGCTGCCCCTTATTACTCGGTGAGTCTAAATTCAAGTTCTTCAAGTCCATGTGTCAACTTGTTTGATAACGTTTATATTTAAGTGTGGAATTAAAGTATAGAGTCAAACAAGTGTAACGGGTGAGTTTTGTGGCCGCAAATTCAATAGAGTTAGTTATAGTGATCCTGTGAAAAAAGAAAAATGTTTTGAGATTTGCAAAAAAAATTCACAATCTGACCAAAATGATAGTATAATAGTTGTCAATTTTTTATCCAATTATGTAACGTCTAACTCTTTTGTTATATTATTGTGAGTAAATTTATGAGTTTAAAAGTGTAATGCTAAATGTGTTCAATAAGGTGAAAATTTTGAATTAGATTGCCCAATATTAAAATGGAAATAGTGGTTTTTTTTTTCTTGATAGAAATCCAAGGGGTTGATTTGGAAAGAGTGGAGATTTTCTTAAAAAAAGATGTAGTATACTAAGGGTTTTGTTTTTGTGGGTGCAGGATTGTTTTATCTCCCAACTGGAGGGAGGGTAGTCTTTAGTTTTGTTGGGCATATCAAGGAACTATCTTAATGATTGAAATTATTTATTTTTATAAAATTTTTAAAACATATTATTCATATAAAAAATTAAATTGATCGATCGAAAAATGAATGAAAGTATATTTTGAGAACATATATTTTATTTTTTGAAAACAAGATCATGTGACTTTAATTCGTCAATTAATGTGATTTTTTATATGAATATTTTGCTTAAAAGTCATATAACATGAAGGGTTTAGATTATCAAGATGGGTCTTACGCCCCGTTTGTTTTCAAAGATAGAATAGAGATGATTCATAGTGAGGGGATTAGTAGTGAGGGAATTGTTAGTGAGGGGATTGTTAGTGAAATTGTGTTTGTTTTGATGACAGTTGTTAGTATAGGAATTATTAAATTATTTTTATATAAAATAATAAAACAAATAAAAAAATATAAAAAATTAAACATTAATGTTTAAAAAAAAATTCCCAATATGTAAAAAATAAAAATAATAAAAAAATTTCTAATGTCCTCATTATTTTTCTAATACCACCTCCGCCTTCTCCATCTCAATCCCCCTTCCAACCTCCATCTTAATCCCTTCATCCATTCTAATCCCTTCCCCAATTCTACAAATAAACACAATACTAAATAACCCCAGCTCCATCCTAATCCATTCTCATCCATTACACCTCAAAACAAACAGGGCCTCACGGTGAATCTGTTGCTTTTATCGGAATTCCCAAATGAAGAGAATCCCAACATTGTTTTGTTTTCAAATTTAAAAATTATTTTTGAATTGACCTAATTTTATATATATAAAAAAAAAATTATAAAATAAAATATTTGAATTATCAAAACGGAAAAAAAACAAAAACAAACTCATGACATGCAATTGTTTGTGACCTTCATTTAGTTTTCTTGCATTAGGGTCTCTGTTCAACATTGAGTTGATCAATTCAATTGCTGATTATTTTTTGTAGTCTTATCCATTGATGACTGACTTCCTCAAATCTGGGCTATACAAATGGGGTGGTGATGCACATAGATTCAGCAAAGACAACAACAACAACAACAGGAGGCCTTACATTGAGATTGTAACCTCCCCAAACAACCCTGATGGTTCCACCAGACGAGCCGTGGTCAACCGAATTGACGGAATTCTGGTTCATGATCTGGCTTACTACTGGCCCCAATACACTCCAATCACTTCTCCGGCGGATCATGATCTCATGCTGTTCACCGTCTCCAAAAGCACCGGCCATGCCGGAACTCGGATCGGGTAAGCTGCTCATCATCTGTTGAATCTCATTTCTCATGGTTCTACTTTTAAGTTACGTTTGGATCCTAGATGTGGTAGGAATTTAAAAATTGAGGCAGCTTTACACAATGTGGATTGGACGGTGCTATTTGCGCATGTGGAACTCATTACGGATTTTATTTCGATAATCTAAATTATTTATTTTATTGAGCATTCCATATATTTCACCAACACAAAAAAAATTGGTTCGATTTAATAATCGTAACTTATTCAATTTATTGCATTTGTCACAAAAAAATAGATGATTTTTAATTTTAAAAATACAATTGTCTTTCAATTTTTTTGTGACAAATGCAATAAATTGAATATATTATAATTATCGGATCTACTTAATTTTTTTTGGATAAAATACATGTGCCCGACAAAATGAACGTTTGAATTATCGAAACATAACCTGCGATGGGCCAAACCTTCGGTCCAGATTATGGATGCAAGGGAATCCTTGTCCTTTAAAGATTAAAAAAAGAAATATCTTTTTGGAGGCAAATTACACCAATAATAGTCTGTATATTTTACATTTTGTGTCATTTTGGTCCATACGCTATTAATTGACTCATTTTTTATTTTAGATTTTGTGCTAATTTTATTCAATTGATAACGTCATTAGGGGTTTCAGTGGAAAATAATTATTGAATTGATTGAGATTAACTCACTTACTTGAATAAGTTTATAATTTTTTTCTTAAAAGCATGATACATATAATTTATTTGCACATGCCAACAATTATCATCAATTAGACTAGAGTAAGACAAAGTTATAAATTTATTATCAAAATCAACCCCATTGAAATTATATAAATCAAAATGACACAAAAACTAAATATAAGAATTACCGATATAATTTACCCTTTATTTTTTGTTAGGTAAATTAAGAACATAGTTGGAGCTCTGACCAGTAGCTAATTAGTTCTACGCTTTTTTGTTTATTTTTGGGGGTTATGGAATTGTATGGGGCCGTTACCGCAGTACATCGAAGGAGTAAAACAGAGGGGAAAAAACAAAGAAAAGAAGGAAACAAAATTGAAAGGTCTTTCCAAATTGAAAAATTATTGAATAGTAAGGAGTATCATGTGTATTGTCTATATATTATTCTCGGCTAATGAAATACTATAACACGCATTAAGTGGTGATTCTTTGTCTATTAATTAATTAACAAAGTGGGTCAATATTATTTTACACATAAAATAAGCAAGTAGTATAATTATATATTTATTTTATATTTTCTTGGAAATCCGATACCATTGGACACTTTGTGAGATTTTAGGTTGTATCGTAACATTGTAATTCATGTTGCAACTTTTTGTGCCTTTCATCAATCTCATTGACTATTTTAAACAGAAAGAAAACACAAATTACTGAACATTTATGAAATTTTTTTTGTGTACATCTTTTTTCTCAGTTGGGCTCTTGTTAAAGATAAAGAAGTAGCAAAAAAAATGACAAAATTCATAGAGCTCAACACCATAGGTGTCTCCAAAGATTCACAGCTCCGGGCCGCCAAGATCTTGCAGGCGGTGGCTGATAGCTGTGACCGTGGTGGTGTTGGTAGCCCTGAAGAAGGTCAAGCCACCTTCTTTGAGTATAGCCACAATCTCATGGCTAAGAGGTGGAACCAACTCAGAGCAGCTGTGGAGAAGAGTCAACTGTTCAATTTACCTGAGTTTCCTTGTGGTTTTTGCAAATTCAGTGCTCAAAGTTTTCAATCTCAACCAGGTAATTTTTTACGTTTTATTGAGAATAAAATTAACTAAATGAGTCGAGTCGAATCGAGTAGTAAGTTTCTTCAAATTTGATTTAAATCTTACAGGCCTTTTTTTTTTTCTTTTCTTTTCTTTTCTTTGTTGACAAAACAGAGTCTGACAAGTGTTTCAAAGTCGTTAATTTTAATCACTAATTTGAGCGGAGTGACTTATAGCATAGGGACTAAATTGTTTAAATTTAAAAGATAAGAATCAAAGTGAAATTTATCAAATTATTGAGGTAAAAAGTGTAATTTATTCTAAAAAGAATGAATAAAAATTATAATTTGTCATTAGAGTGATAGCAAATGAAGCTTTTACTTAAATTTTATTTTAATTTGAGTAAAAATTTCATTCATAATTTAATTTAATTAATTAATTTTTTTGTTTTTTTGTTTTTTTTTTTGTTGGGGGTGTAGCATTTGCATGGTTGAAATGTGAAGGGGAAATGGAGGACTGTGAAAGCTTGCTTAGGAGATGGAGGATATTGAGTAGGGGAGGGAAGCACTTTGGGGATACCCCAAAGTATGTTAGAATTAGCATGTTGCCACGTGATCAAATATTCCACCTCTTCACTCACAGGTTGTCAACAATCCAATCTTGACTCTTATCTCTCGTGTAACTCTTTCCGGGCATGTTTGATTTATAGGATTAGGACAGTTGGTTGAGATTATTAATTTGTGTGCTTAATAATTTTTTATTTGTTTTAAAATTTTATTTCAAGATTATAAATATAATGTATAATTAATTCAATAAATTTATAGAATTATTAATAATAAGGTAGAGGTGGAATTATATATCAGGACCTGGGGAAAAAAATAAAGAGACTCCTTTACCCTTGATCAAAAATTAAAACACTTATTATTTTTGTATAATTTTATATTTTAGAAGGCTAAAAATAATTTTTAAAAATTTAAAAATATTTTTTGATATTTGTTTTATCAAGTTAGTTTATATTTTTTTATAAAAGAATTAAAAAGCAAACCAAACATGACCTTTGTATTTTGTATTTTTATTTTACTTTTATTTATTTATTTATAATTTTTTTCAAAACCACGTTTATGAAGAAATTTTGATAAAATAAATATTGTGAAGAAACATTGATGGAGGGTAAGATTGGAAAAGAAAATAAGTATAGTTGTAAACCTACATTTATATGTTTTCTTATCCAATGCAAATCAAACAATAAATAAAGAGATAATTTATTCTGCTAATCCAATTGGATAGTGAATACCATACTAATTTGATGAGATTATTAATACTTTCACTATTAGTCTTATGAATCAAACATGACCTATATATATATATACACTAGAAGTCTTGCATATATTACGTTTGTGTGAATCAGTTAGATCAAACAGTTATTAACTAAAATAAAATAGTTAAATAGGATTGATAATTGATGCAACGTGATCCAGTTTCAATCTACACCCATTCAAAGATTAGAGACTTATCATTTAAATTTATAAATTCATCAACAATGATGCGGTAAGAAAATTAAGTGGTTCATAATTGAGTGTAAATAGGATATTATAGCCATTGCAGGTCATGTATAACCTTATTTCTTACTATTCATAGCACTGTTGAAATATCAATTATTATATATTAATGTGAAAATATACAATAATATCAATAGTGCCAAGTACTTGTAAAAATATGTTTATAAGATTTCTGATCATTGAGAAAAGATGCATACTTGAGACAAACTAAAATCATAAAATGAGAAGAGAAATTAAAGTATAGGATAGTGTCTGTAGCCCACATCAATAATTTGCAGCTTCACATAGTTGTTGAGTGACAAATATCTTCAAGTCCAATCTGAATTCAAACACCTAGGAGAAGAGAAAAAAATATTTCAAGCTTCAAACAGTTAGATGAGATCTGATAAAATCCTATTAGGTTAGATTGAATTGAATAAAAATTTTGATTGGTTGTCTTTTCTATATTATTCTTACTGATATTGTAATGTAAATCTAGTTGACTTATTTGCTCAAGTTTGCCAAAGAGAGAAAAATATGAGACAATAATGATAGTTATAGACCATGTAAGATCCTACTTGCTCCATCTGTTAACATAACTAATACAAGTTCCTTAATAATCCTAGTTTGATGGAAAGAAAACAAAAAACTAATGAAAAAAAAAAAATGATTAATGGTCACACTAAATTCCTTTACTAAATGCATCTATATTTTCTCAAGTTATTAAGAAAACAACATACCTACTCAATGGTCACACTGCAATTCTAGCTCTTCTGCTTCCATGATCTCCATCCTTTCCAATAAGATTGTTCTTGATTGCATGCAACTGAGTAACAACATGACTAATGGTTGGTCGATTTCTTGGTGCTTCTTGTGAACAAGCGATTCCAATATTAAATATTGAAATCAAGCACTCATGAATTTTGTGACTGGTATGAGAGCTTTGATTCCGAGTGTTGTTGGTGCTTGAGCTTGCCTGCCCCATTTCTCTTTGTTGAAGTAGTGTTGGATCAGCAACGGTAGCTACTAGTTCAGGTAAAGCCATCTTAACAAAGCTATGGAGACTCAAACCATCATTAAACATGCTATCAGTAGGTCTCTTTCTTGTAAACATCTCCAATAAGAGGATACCATAACTATACACATCACCAAATGTCAACACCTCATTTCCTATACCATACTCTGCAATTCATGCATCATACAATTGTAAAGATGCTTGGTTAGAAGCAGATCAAAGAAAATAATAATATTTCTTGATATTGGTACATCTTCCCCATTGATGCTAGAAATAAACTCAAATACAAGTACATAAATTATGATTTGCATATAACAAAAAAAGGATATGTATGGAAAATCCACCCCAAAAAAATAAAATAAAATGGGAGTGTTTGCTGTAAGCAAGAAACTAATGAAGTTAAGAACCTGATGAACTTTCGTAGGACTAAGTTATGCACCTCAACATTAAAGAAAGGAAAAGAAATAGGAAAAAAAAAAATTTAATTTACTTTTAGATAAAAACCGATAAAATATCTGCAATGCTGATTTTCATGCATTTGAAGACCAAATGATGTTGTGAGGAATAAAATCAAAGCCATCAACTTTTCTTCATTGATTGGAGGAGCATGTGCAAATTGATTAGTGAATATTGTTGGAAACTGAAAGTGAAAATAGAAAACAGAAAAGAACGTAAAAGGTACATTTACCTGGAGCAACATAACCAATAGACCCTCTAAAGCCAATGGAAATTGGTTGAATTGCAGAAGAATTATAGATGTCTTCTGGAAGAAATCTTGCTAATCCAAGATCACCTACATGTCCAATCATTTCATTATTCAGAAGAACATTGTTTGGCTTCAAATCACAGTGGACTATTGGTTTCGTGGAATGATGGTGAAGATAATCAAGTGCAGAAGCGACATCAATGGAAATATTTAACCTTGGCAGGAGGTTTAAATTTCTTGACTCCCAACGAACCTCGTCTTGGTTCTCATTTGGATGTAACCACTCCTCTAGGCTCCCATTGACCATGAACTCATACACTAGAGCTTTGAAATCATTACCATTATAGTCAACACTTTAACACACGGTGAAAATCTTGACAAGATTTCGATGTCTAATGCGCCTCAAGGCCTCACACTCAGCAACAAAACTCCTAGAAGCTCCACGGTGGAGAAGGTTTAGTACCTTCACTGCTACAACCCTTTCACCTTGATCAAGAGTTCCTTTATAAACTGAACCAAACTACCCGCACCAATCAAATTAGTTGGAGAGAACCCATCAGTAGCTTTGATTGGATTTTGGTAGGACAATTTCAAATATGAGCTTCTAGAAAATCTAAAAGAGGGTACTTTTGTTGACTTTCTAAACCAACAAAAGTATAGGAAACACAACAACAGAAAAAGTGCTAGAAGCCCAAACAATGTGAGGATTATTAATTTAAAGGTGAGAGTAAATGTTTTGGTTTTGAATCCTTTGGTGTTGCAACTACGTAGCTGCAATTCAGGTATACCACCACAAAGCTTGTTGTTTCCTTTGACAGAAAATGCCGTTGCATTCTTAAATATGCCACTTTCTGGTACTGCATCCTCAAAATCATTGAATGATAGATTTAATGTCTGTAAGAAGACAAAGCCCTCCAAATAATCCGGGATTTTTCCTGAGAAATTATTGTGAGAAAAATCTAATTTAGCAACACCTCTCAATTGACTTAAAGATGAAGGAAGGGTTCCTGAGAAATTGTTGCCCTCTATGCATAGTAATGTCAATTCTACACAGCTAGAAAGTGTGCTTGGAATTTCTTCAAAAAACATGTTCCCAGAAACATCAAGTTGTTCAAGATTTATTAAATTTCCAATTTCCATTTGTAGGAACCCAGCCAAACGGTTCTGAGATAGGTTCAAGTACAATAATGATATAACTCCTTCGGTATGGTACCAATAAGATTGTTTCCACCAAGATTTAGTTCTACAAGTGGGCATTTTCCAAGATTTGGGATGCTACCATAAAATTTATTTTCTTCTAAATATAAGTTGGTTAACAAAGTCAAATTTTCCAGTGATGGAATTTCCCCATGGAATTGATTATGAGTAAGTATCAAAAATTGCAGATTTTGAAGCTTTCCAATGTCAGTAGGAATGTTACCTGTGAAACGGTTGTACGACAAGTTAATAGATTGCAAATTGACTAAATTCTCCATCCCAGTTGGGATGCTCCTAACAATTTTATTGATCTGAAAATTTAGTATACCAAGATTAATGGACAAATTACTGATTAATTCAGGTAGCTCCCCTCCAAAATTGTTCTCCGAGATATCCAAAGTGTTCAAATTGGTGGCATTGGCCAACAAGTTGAGAAAATTCAAATCATCAGCTTCCTCAGCTCCGAGATGATTGTTTTGAAAGTTTAACCACACAAGATTGTGCATATTTTCCAATGGAGGTACTTTTCCAAAAATTTATTGCTTCCAAAGTCGAGATAATATAACTTGGTGGCATTAGATATTGAAATAGGAATGGATCCATTAAACAACTTCATTCCAAACACAAGCCGTTCCAAATTAGGAAGAGCAATTCCGATGTCTAGAGGAAGGCTCCCTTGAATTTGGTTCATTCCTATATCAAAAATTGTGATGGAAGAGAGATTATAGATTGAGGAAGGAACCGTACTAACCAACTTGTTCACCGCCAATACAAGATGGATTAAGTTTGTCAATCGACCTAGGGTTTTAGGTATATTCCCATTGATATTATTAGAAGTTGCAGAGAAAAACATAAGAGATGATAGATTCCCAAGAGTAGAAGGAATACCACCTGTTATATTGTTTCTTCCAATGTACAACGCATTGAGCTTCGACAGGGAACCAAGCTCCACAAGAATTTTCCCGGTCAACGTATTCCCAGGAAGTTCAAAAGAAATGAGGTTAGAACAAGCTGATATATTAGCGGGAATTTCGCCACTGATTGAATTATTAAGAAATGACAATTCTTGTAGTCTCCATAAACGGCCAAGCTCTAGGGGAATTTTATTAACCAAGCTATTGTTGCGTAATGATAGTGTGTGGGTAATTTTCTGACCACACTGCCCGCCTAGTAATCAGCTGGAGAGCACCGGCAGAATAGATGGCTTCAGCAAACCTGTAACAGAAAGAAAAGGCTCCGGCGGTGGCTCTTCCACCCGGGGGCACTCCGACGATCAAGTCAATATATCTCTCAAAGATAATCAAGTGCTAAACTCACTACTCAAAGCATGAAATTGCGTACCTTAGACCCACGAGGGTGCCTCTCTTTTATAGTCAACTCAATCCTAGTCCCACTAGAAGCCTGACTTCTATGGACTCCCATTCAGTACTTACTTTGGATTTCTCAAGAGATAAAGATAAAATCCCTAAGAGTTTTATCCTTATCTTAGTAAAGTCTTCTCTTTACTCTAGGATTCTTGCCCCTTATCCATTATCCGCTTATCTCAGATTCCGATATCTTCGAAGGCAACCTCGGCCTAGCCGAGATAACCTCGGTGTCACGACCAGGACACGTGGCACCTCGGCTGACACGTCGGCGTCACCTTGCCACGTGTTGGTATTCAGAAAATACATCCCCACAACTGCCCCCTAGGTTCTATTACCTGGGTATTCTAAGGTGATGGAACCTATATCTATATTGTCTTCCAGTACCTCGGCGTAAGAACTCTTCGGCCAAGATCATTCATGTCAAGCCGACATGTTCTCTTCGGAGAACAAGAATTCCAGTGATCTTTTTCATATGTGTGAGCTGTCACGCATCATTTACACAACCGTTTCTCTCACGCGTCTTTACCTTATTGGTCCGTGTTTGTGACGCGCCTGTAAGCTGTCTTCCGTCTGTCTACGCCGTCTGACGTATGCGATGTTCTAGGCGCATTAAATGCCCTGTTTTGCCGCTGTTTTAAGTTTTTAACAAAACTTTGTTTTTTCCCTCTTTCTTTCCTTACCTTTGTATTCGATTTACTTGATTTTCTCTCTCTAAAGCCCTTGCTTCTTGAATCCGCCATTGCTAAGGCTCCAAGTTCTGCAACCGTCTTCGTTCGTCTTTCTGGTGAAGCTTTTACCACTCTGGTACTTCAGTAACCGTCGTCTATCTTCGGCGAATTCTATTCCGGCTTCAATTTCTCTGGTAAGCAACTGTTCTTTCTGATTTCAATTCTTGACCATTTCTGGAATCTCCTGTTATTACTGCCTTGCTCAAATATCTATTTTGTGAATCATACATCTGAATGTGTTTACTCCTTGATTTGGCCCTTGCCTATATCTTGAACACACGCACCGTTGCACCACTTCACTGTATTTTTGCCACTGATCTTGGTCCTTTATTTCTCGTATTCTTCATGTTCTTGATAGCCCATCCTTGTTCTTGTTTCTGAAACTTCGCCTTTGTTTTCTGTTTTTTGTGTCTTTGCCAGATCTCTACCTTCAATTTTTGCTTTCAATCTTTGCCTTCATAGATTTAGGTTTGGGATTTGTCTATAGAACCTATCAATTCTGAGGAAAAAACAGAAACAATCCTTACCAGTATATACCTAGGGTTTCGCCGAGGTCCTGATAACCCCTTAAGAGCATCTTTTTTCTGAAACCTAGCCCTCTGACTTTAGGCCGACGTTATGGGTATGTGGAGGCACAGGGTAGATACCCCGACCAAACTTGAGTACTTTAGGGAAGAGTTCTCCATTCCAGCCGATGTTCACCTTAGGCTAGCTGGGGATGACGATTCCATCATGCCTACAGACCATACGATGCCCTTTCTCATTGTAGCCTTTACTGAATGTGGACTCCGGCTTCCACTTGATCCCCTTTTTCGCGAAGTTCTCCACTACTATAGGTTGAACTCCATGCAACTTACCATCAACTCCTATAGAGTGATTAATGGTATCATAGCCCTAGCTAGGCAGGAGAACGTTAGGATTACCCTCAAGCCGAGGTCCATCGAATTCAAAATCGTAGCCGACCTCCCAGACTCCAACAAGGGGGCTGGAGATGACTACGTCATTGCCTCTGGAAATTGGGAGTTTGCCCCAGACGAGGATGTCCATCTATACCCTCTTCCTCGAACAGTTAAAGAGGGCAAGGGTAAGAGCCCAGTGTCAATTACTTAGTTGTTTCTTTTTCAAGTCTTCAAAACTTTGTCTGTTTCTAATGTTTTGTTCTTCTTGCAGATGTTCGCAAGCCACTAAAGGATTTTCGCCAGTCTTACTTTCCAGGCAAAGACTTAAAGAAGCTCCTAGATCTGCCAATTCAAAAGCGCAAGGCTCCACTGGTACTGAATTTTATTTCGACGTACAAGTCTACACTGCCCAATGTCCCGAAAAGAAAGAAGAAGAGCTTATCTCCTCCCTCTGCTACCACTCTACAAACCGCATCAACATCTCGGGCTGACTAAGGGTCAACCTCTGATCCAGCCGATCAACCATCAACTTCAACCCCATACTTAATCCCAATACCAGAAAAAAAACATCGGCAACGACTTGTCAAAACTGCTGAGATGGGTCGCCCGAAGCCTGTTGCCCAAGATCTCCTAGCCGACCTTCCTACGGACGTTGACGCTCAGCGACGCAAACCATGCCCCCACCAAAGCCGAAGAGAACCAAGAAAGCCCAGCCAAAGGCTAAAGTGACTCAGGTTGAGTCTGAGGACACTTTTCCTATATCCAAACTGGCTGAGAGTGGGAAGACCGCTTCCGTTCCCACAAAAAGGTCTGCTGAAAGACAACCATCAGAGTCCATTCAATCAAAGAAGCCGAGGTCATCATCTGCGACGACATCGGGTTCCAAAATACCAAGAGTCCCCTGGGTGCCTGAAATCACCCTGGAAGATAATCCTGTTCTAGCCTGTGACAGTGCCGATGACATCAATATCGGCGTGGCACTCAGTACTGTTGTTCTCCTTCCTGGCGATCTTGAGCGGAATGCCAAGATGAGCGAGTACGAGAACTACGCCCTCATGCTCCAACGTTCTGTACAAGTAAGTTCCTTTATTTGGCAACTTGTCTTTCTGCCTCTTTTTCTATACTTGTAAAGTTTGTGTAATAACTTTTCCCTTGGGTTCTTTCAGGCTATTCAACATGCCCATTCTCTCTCCATGCAAGCTTTTGAAACAAGGGAGAAGTTGGCCGATATGAGGCGGGAGGTTTCTGCCCCAAAGAAGGAAAACAAAAATTTTTTTACAAAGATGATGAAGCTTGAAGACCAGGCTGAGGCTGCCACCAAAGCCCAAACCCTAGCCGAAGAAAAGGCCGAATCTGCCGAGGCTATTAAGAAGGTCGCCGAGGCCGAGAAGAGAGAGGCCGAGGACAAAAAGGCCCAAGCCGAAAAGGAACTTCAAGAGGCCTTATCTACTAAAGACGCCGAAATCAAAGCGGCCGACGAAAAGGCCTATGCTCAAGGAATGGCCGACGTTACAGAGGAATACAAACTACAAGTTAGGCAGGCGTGCAATAGGGGCTTCTCCCTTGGTTGGATGGGCCTTGCAAAGAAACTTAATCTTCCTGAAAATTCACCACTGCGCCAAGCCGACGCTATTCCTCTTCCATTTCCTCCACCTCCACCGCCAAGCCAAGCTGAAGATGAATCTGAGTCTGAATCTGAGGATGAGGATAAGGATGATGATGAGGCTTTGGTAAGGAAGCCCAAAGATGCTAGTGAGATCAAGTCCCCTCCTTAGGATGATCAAGTCCTAGACTTGACTCATGAGGAGGATGAGGAGGTTATCAAGGAGACCACTCCTGAGCAAGCATCATCTGATGTTCCTCCAGTCGATAGAAGTCTTGATCAAACACTTGCCGAAATTGACGCCAAGTTGGCGGCGGAAAAGATTGCCGAGGTGGTTCCACCAGAATCCTCCGAGGTTCCAACCCATCCAGCTGTTGATGCTGAAGAAGCCTGACTCCAATGTCTTTCTTTGTTTGAACTTTTTTACTTTTCTGTTTTCTGGACAATGTAAGCTTCCTTTTGTGGCCGATGTGCCTATCTTTGTCACTGCCGAGTAATTTGCTTTTGGTTAGGCTGTAGTGCCTTCTTTGTACACAACTGCAACTGTTTTTCTCTGAATGCTTTAGTCTTTATTTTCTCTTGATTGCTTCTGCATGGTTCTATACTTAGAATATTTGGCATGCCTTTCATACTTTGCCTCCTTTGTGCAATCTTCTCGAGGTCAAAGACCTCGGGTATAGTAACTACAAGTTTTACTTCGGCAAGATACTGACCTGCAAACTTTTCATGAATTTCAACAAGTTACATTATTCAATGCTATCTTTGAAAACATTTATCAAGTTATAACAAGTGCTAAACAATGATCTACTTGTAAATTGCTACAAATTTCAACAAGTGTGTAAACAATATACTTAGCTTTTATTTCAATCTGTAAATTGCTGCAAATTTCAACAGATGATCATATGTCGGCTTCATGTTATCTTGTAAATTGCTACAAATTTCAACAAGTGTTAAGCATCTTCTTTGGTTTAACCAACCTGTAGATTGCTACAAGTGTCTAGTAATAACCTCGGCTTTGCTTCAACTCGTAAATTGCTACGAATTTAAACAAGCGAAGAGAAACAGTAATCTTGGCTTAACTTCAACTTGTAAATTGCTACAAATTTCAACAAGTGAAGATAAGGAACCATCTCAGCTTAACTTCAACTTGTAAATTGCTACAAATTTCAACAAGTGAAGATAAGGAACTTATCTCAGCTTAACTTCAACTTGTAAATTGCTACAACTTGTAAATTGCTACAAATTTTAACAAGTGAAGATAAGGAACTATCTCGGCTTAACTTCAACTTGTAAATTGCTACAAATTTCAACAAGTGAAGATAAGGAACCATCTCGGCTTAACTTCAACTTGTAAATTTCTATAAATTTCAACAAGTGAAGATAAGGAACCATCTCAGCTTAACTTCAACTTGTATATTGCTAAATATTTCAACAAGTGAAGATAAGGAACCATCTTGGCTTAACTTCAACTTGTAAATTGCTATAAATTTCAACAAGTGAAGATAAGGAACTTATCTCGGCTTAACTTCAACTTGTAAATTGCTACAAATTTTAACAAGTGAATTAAGTGTTTCTGTCTTCTCTCTGCCCCCAATATGAACCTGAGTTCTACTTGGGTTCTCATTATTCATGTCTTCCAAAAACATCAACACGTAACTTTATCAATCATATGTGTTTAAAGAAAAGGGAAAAGATTTTATTGATGACCTTGGCCAAAAATGATGTACATCTAATGATAGAAGAATTTCAAATTACAAGTGTTCCAAGGTCTTGGTAGTGCTTTGCCCTCGTTATCTTCAAGCCGATAAGCTCCATTGCCTAATACCGAAGTAATTCTGTAGGGTCCTTCTCAGTTTGGGCCAAGCTTGCCCTCTCTGGGATCCTTCTTGTTGCCGACGACTTTTCTCAGGACTAGGTCGCCGATTTGAAAATCTCTTGGATTGACCTTCTTGTTGTAAGCTCTGGCAAGCTGTTGTTGGTATACTGCGAGCTGAATTGCAGCTTTCTTCCTTCTTTCTTCTAAGAGATCCAGATCTTGGGCTAGAAATATATCATTTGTGCCATTCTCTACTCCGTCGGTTCTGATCCCTGGGATGCCGATCTCCAGAGGGATGACTGCTTCTGTGCCATAAGCCATGGCAAATGGGGTTTCCCCTGTTAATCTCCTCGGCGTAGTTCGATATGCCCAAAGCACGTTGGGCAATTCGTCTACCCATTTTCCCTTTGCTGCCTGTAGCCTCTTCTTTATCCCATCCAAAATTACTTTGTTGGATGCTTCTGCTTACCCATTGCTTTGGGAAAAACTTGGTGTTGAAAAGTAGTTCTTTATCTTGAATTTCGCGCAGAAGTTCTTGATGAGTTTGCTGTCAAACTGCGTTCCGCTGTCGGCAACTATTGCTCTTGGAATGCCAAATCTGGTGATGATATTTCTCCATATAAAGTTCTTGACGTCCACATCTCGGATTTTGGCAAGAGGTTCTGCCTCTATCCACTTCATAAAGTAATCTATT